GATTAGCTTATTAAATTCCTATTGAATATATATACTGTCTCTTATACACATCTAGATGTGTATAAGAGACAGGGCTGGTAGCCTACAAAGAATAATAATAATAATAAAAGAAAAAGTGTTCCGAGTCCTTGAGTTATGTGGTTTGCAAAAAAGCAGGGGTGGAGCAGGGGTAAATCCTTCCTTCCCAGGAAAGTAATCAATGCCGCAGTCTCAGGGTTCCCCAACTTCCCCCTCAGTTTTAATGAAGGAAATTGTGGAAGGGGTTAATTATGTGAGGGATGTTGAAGCCAATTTTCAGCAATAATGAAACTGTCTTATTCGCAAGGGGGAAAAAAAAAATAAAAAAATTCTGCGTCTTAACACTCCCCAGATGAATGTGATCTGAGTGGCAGTACTCATGGAGACTCCCAGAGTATAACCCAGAAGACCTCAGGTATACCAACATGTTCCATTGTTCGGCGGTTTTCAAGAAAAGTTTATGGAGTACTGTTGGCGGGTACCCAACCACAACTCTATTTGGATATGAAGACTGGGCATTCTGGTAAGCTCTTTCATCAAAGACCCCCTACCCATTCACACACACACACACACACACACACACACACATATACCTCTCGCCTGCCCTACCCTTGCACTCTACTTTCCCCCTACCTCACGTCCTGACAAACTTACCTCCTGTCCCTTTCCCTCCGCCCTCTCCTTATGTGCAACTAGGAAATACATACGAATGAGCATCAGTAAGAGTACAGACAAAGTATAAGTTGAAGATTTGAAGAGAAATGAACAGGAGTATGGAGACGAACGACAAACACAAAGACTAAGCATATGCTGAAGACCTGAAGTGAAATGAACAGCTGGAGATCTGAAGGGAAATGAACAGCTGGAGATCTGAAGTGAAATGAACAGGAGTATGAAGATCTGAACTGAAGTGCACAGGAACATACCTTCCCCTTTACTCTGCCTCTTATTATAACGTGCAAGTGGGCCGTTAAGGCACACGGGGATGTGGGCAGCTGCCGCTCAACCACCATCAACGTGGGCAGCCTTGTACGTGCGAGGCAAAGTGAAAGAGGAGCTGTTGCCCCAAAGAAACCCTAGCTAAGCACGGTTCAAAATGGTTCTATTATGATTCGTGCTGCCTGTTTGGGCGGACTCAGTCCGGTTCTACTCATCTGGTTGGAATAGGGGTTGTTGTGGGGGAAGCTTATAACACACACACACACACACACACACACACACACACACACACACACACACACACACACACACACACACACACATTATCTATAACTTCTTTTCTTTGTCTCGATGCACGTCTTTTCTGTTGTGTTGTCCACTTCGTGTACCCTTCTCCAGTCTAAGTGAGGACCTTAAAGATGTGCCAAACAGTCAGTGCCTGTCCATATGGAGTGCCTGGAACACAGTTATGGGGCCTGCCGTGTTTTGTCGAAGCGGGTTCAGCCTCCATGATGAATTGGTGAGAGTCCTAGAAAACAGTCTGTCATTTACCCCTTGCCTCCGCGTTTGCTGCGCCTCCTGATGTCGAGTCGTTGTTAACCATCCAGTTTGAGGTCACCTAGGTATTACCATTCTCCTCCTCCTCCTCCTCCACTTCCTCCTCCTCCTCCTCCTCCTCCTCCTCCTCCTCCTCCTCTACCCTATTTTCACAAGTTATTTGTGTCTTCCCTCTGATTTATCACCCTATTGTGTAAAACAGTGTTTTGTAACTCCACATGTGAAGACGGTAGTGCCACTATTCCAAAAGCTCAATTGATCTTTTAATAAGCTCTCTGTATTCATATTTGACTTGCCGGTGGAATAGGAACCGGACTGCTGCTCCCCAGAATGGGCAAGGCTCCAGAACCATAAGTTTGTGTTTAAGGGGAGGGAAAAAAAAGCCAAAAAAAAAAGAAAAAGCTCTCTGTCGGCGAAAGGATGGTACACCAATTGAGCTGGTCGGCAACCGAACGCAGAAGCACAAAGGCATGTATGATGGCATGAACGGTTAATGATCACAATGGAAGAATACAAATCATAATCCCAGTGGATTTGCTGCCTGAAAGAGAAAAGCATTTGTTGGTTGTTTGATTGTGCTCCCCAAATTAAATGATCCCGTCTAAAGGGGGGGGTTAAAAGGCCTGAAGGGGGTCTACATAACCTGGGCCTAAAGAAGGTTCGACAGTTAAAAGGGTCCAAAGGGAGTTTTGATATGGGAAGGAGAACCAACTTACCGAGAAAATGTCATGTTCCAGTCTTGCTGTTCTGTGGATTGGGCCATTATTATGAGGGGGGGGGGGGGGGGGGCATTGTGACACGTTGGGAAACTGTGACGTGTTGGGACACTGTGACAAGATGGCGACATGGCATAATTTGGTGGAATAATGGTATCTGAGGGGCAAGCGACTGCACAAACCCTCCATCCACCTGGGACCTGCTGACAAGTAAAAATGTGTTTTCACAATTTTGATCTTCTTCAGGATTGCTGCAGAGGAAGAAGTTGGGATCGAGCCTCGATACATAAGGGAGGATCTGTTTCTCTACCGGATGAGTCACAACTCCATGCATCAGACGTTGCTCTCTTATCAGGAATTCAGTATGGCATCTCTTAGAATGCTGTATCCAGCCCTTTTCCCTCTTGAGGTATGTACCTCTCTCTCTCTCTCTCTCTCTCTCTCTCTCTCTCTCTCTCTCTCTCTCTCTCTCTCTCTCTCTCTCTCTCTCTCTNTCTCTCTCTCTCTCTCTCTCTCTCTCTCTCTCTCTCTCTCTCTCTCTCTCTCTCTCTCTCTCTCTCTCTCTCTCTCTCTCTCTCTCTCCGTGCATACAAACCACAATCTGATGGTGTTTACCATATAACCTACAGGTGCTGGTACAGGGAATGATAAGATGGGAAATTTGGTGGTCTGATGGATTCGTTTCCTTGTTGTCAAGTCTTTAACTGTTAAACATGAACTTCCCTCAGTGATATTGAAAGAATCACAGACACCGAAATTCTAGCGAAGTCCTAAGATCTCAGCTCAGGGGTAAAAAATGACCATTTAGTAACTCTTATAGCCCTAGCGTTTAGGTTTCTGCGTTGTTTTGACCGCTGAGTAATCGTTAGATCCCCAGGCAATAACCACTGAGTAATCTCAGGTCAGGGGTAAATCACTGGCCTCCCCACCGAGCGAATTGGACTGGCCTCCTCACTGCTTGCTCTAATTCGCCCTCTGGCCAGCATTTAGAAGTCAGCAGTGTTTCTTCTTCTTCTTCTTCTTCTTCTTCTTCTTCTTCTTTTTTTCTTTTTTTTTTAAACTCAAACGGGTCCTTGTGGTTCTGAGTCTTCTGACTCCTTTCTCCATTCTGGGGAGAGACTAACTCTGGTTCCGTTCCACGGGCAAGAAGGTTCTTAAACCACCAGTACTTCCTAAAGTCGCGTAGCGTTAACGCTACGCAATTTTAGGAAACGTACGGGCCACTACAGGAGCGTCCAAATTCATCCAACTTGAAACGTTTCTACTCTATTTTTTTCCGCGGCCGATAGCTGGGCCAAGTACTGGTGGTTTAATTATCCTTGCTATCTTGTATTCGAATACAAAGCGGGACCAACACAGTGTTATTACCTCCAAAGGACCAAAGGATTCATAATTTACCAACTGACCAGGTAATTGCGAAAGCAGGGTCTCACAAGCATGCGTGCATGTGAGACTTACTCGGTGAAGAACAGAGGGTTGGGCACGAGGTTCCGTGCATCTCTCTCTTTTTTTTTTCTTTTTTTCTTTTCTCATTCAGTGAAGGATGGGCATGAACTCCTTACCGAGCTCTTAAGACAACTACATATGCTATCGTGCGACTACTTGCAATAGTTGAGGGCAAAGAGTCCAGCGGACTATCGTTAGCTTACGATCTGTGCTATTTCCCTTTTGACTTTGGATCTTAGGACCCAAAGTCTGTCTGCACGATGCTCAGTTTCAAGTATTTGGAGTTCCCTTGCGGTCGGTCAAGCTTTGGGCCGCCGCAGCCCGTCGAGAAGCGCCTTGCACCGAACGGTTGTAAGGTGCAGGGTTGATGAACCTCATGGATCTCGAGATCCCAATAGTTATAACATCTACCGAGCTCAGCGACCGACGCCGACGCCTTGCGTCGGTAGTCAACATCTACCGAAAGGAATCTGTCACCGAGCTCGGTGGTTGAGAACTGCCGATTCAATTGCCAACCTGGCGTCTGTGGCCGAGCTCGAGTCTTCGGAGGTTAACAGAGTGGGAGAACAACGTATGACGCTTGTTCATCTCTTCAATCTTCCCACCAGTTGCGGCGGCGGCAATGCCTACCCTACCAATTCATTGCCGACTTGCGGCCGAACCCCCCCCTCACCTTTCTCCACCTCAGCAATCCATCTGAGACTTGAGAGTCTGAGAGAGAGAGAGAGATCACCTGTCTACCTTCCTGCATGACAACCATCAATCCAAGGGTCATTTCATTAATCGGAGTATATGAGGACCCTTGAGGGGAAGGGGGGGGGGGAGGGGGAGGGGAAGGGATGAGGAGAGCATTGAGGACCCTTTAGCCTATGGAAATGGACCTGTGGTGTACCTACAGGTCTCTGTTCCTATGGGCAGGGCAAGACAAGCCTTGTCTGCAACTCCTGAAAAAAACCTTAACGGTCAACAGGGCACCGGGAGGAAGAGCACCCCTACCATCCCCCCCCCAGACCCCCCTAATCCCCCTCTTTCAACATAAACTAAGGGTTGTCTGTTATCCCTCTCCTCTGCTTAGATCAGAACTTCAAAGTTAGTTATTGCACTGATAGATTCTGAGAAGATGTTGGGTGTTGGGTGTTGGATGTTGGGTGTTGGGTGTTGGCTGTTGGCTGTTTAGTAGCTGCTCAGTACTTCAGACAATTTTAACACAGCGGTACCACAGCTCTGACACATTGTCCGAACTCCACACGTGTGAGCTGACGTGGCAATGATTGAGACAGAGTGTCAAATACAATGAATGACTCATACACTGTTATGGTGGAAATTTAAGACACACAATCACACACACACACACACACAGAGTGAGAATCTGTGAAACCAGTTCAGTTTATCAGACTTTATCTGGGATTGCAACAACAGAAGGTAACAAACAAATGTGTGCATGGGTCTTCTTTCGCTGACCTTTGGAAAAGAAAAGAAAAAAAAATCCTCTTGAGCTGACATTGTTGTGTCTGGTGTCGTTGTATTTCTTCAATATCTTTGAAACTTCAACTATTATCCTGTTGCTTGTTGTGTGCTGATTTGTGCAGTTGATATTAGCAGCACATGAGAAGTTCTTCGATCCTCCTGAAAGAGTGATGAGACTAATAAATGACAAAGTAACGAAGTTCCCTAGTCATCACATTCCATATCTCATGAGAGGGCTGGCTCGAGAAGCCAAGGTAAGATAACACACCGTGTTGAAAACTTAAACTCGTCTCCGTCGTTTAAGTTTTAAACTCTTTTTCAAATTTTCATTCCATTTGCGGATTTCTTTTTAGGTGGAATCTGATGGAGTCAATATGCAACTTGTTTGTTTGCTCTCCATCTCTCTTTTTTGAAGTTTTTTCTTTTTTTTTGGGTGGGGTAGGGGGAGTGAGGGGAGGGGAAGAAGAGAGGCAGAGGGTTCTTTTTTTCTTCTTTTTTTTTTGCAGAAAAGTTTAGAAATGTGAGCGTAGCATATATGCCAATATGGCCATTCATGGCTTCGTTCGCTCAGTGAGGAGGCCAGTCCAGTTCCTCTTCCACCAGCAGCAAGTCTCACAAGAATCGGAAAAGAAAACAAAATTGGTCATTCAGACACTTCACAGTTTTCAAAGTCTTGGGAGCTAGGCTACCAGAGTGGCTGTGGACCACTTGCCCGGCCGGGCCCTTTTTTTTAACTTTAAAATTTAAATTTTATTTTAAATTTGGTAAAGAATTTCGATGTGACCCTGAGGCAAAAGCCTAAAGGTGTTCAGTTTATTTTTTTGCATAACATAGTGTTTTTTTTTTTTTTTTTGATGGGACCTTCTGTGGCCCTTGCACGGCCGGGCAACCCGCGCAAACAAGGTGAACCGGGCGGCCCGGCTGGTAGCCTAGCTTGGGGGGAGCCTTCCAATTTCCAAAGAACTATCTGCTGCTCAGCATTTTTTTTTCCTTCTTTTCTAAGTTTTCTTCTTCTTTTTTTTTTCACTGCTCGGCGCTTCTTCCTGAGTTTCCACCTGTGATTTTCAAAGTCTCACATTGATTGCTGTGGCAATGCTGCCCAGAGTCCCAGACTGTCGCCATAACTACTACTTTTTTACCCAGATGAGCAGATCCGAAATTGAAAAAAAAAATAAAAAATGTTTATAAAACAGACTTCATTTACAATCTTCTATACAGTTAGAAGTTAGAACTTAGATATGAGTTATGTATTGTCATATTATATGTGTGACCACAAGACTCACAAATGAGTCGCAACACACTTTGTTTGTTTGTATCTTTTGAATTTCTTTTTGCCTGCGCATTCAGGCCAAGGATGATGCGTCATACGACGGGTCTCATTTGGAGGACGCTCTGGACGATTACAAAAAGGCTGTGAAATTTTCCCCTTACGATGAATGGCAGCCGAAGTGGAGGCTAGGGTTACTCCTGCTGCAAATGGGGAAGACAAGTCAGGGTTTCTCCATGCTTCAAACTCTGCTAAAGGACTTTGAAAACCTGGAAATATTCTACGAAATGATGGTAACGAGGGCTCTAAGATCTTCCACTTACCGAGCCAGCAAATCTGGTCATAGCGTTTGGTCAGGTTCGGAAGAAGACGAAGAAGAGAGCTTATTAGAGGTCCGCCAAGAACTGTGATCGGATCATTGAAATGATCGTACAAACGGTACGATAAAAAAAGGAATGCGTGCAACCACAGTCACAAAACCAAAAGATTCAGAAATGAAATGAAATCATCCTTCAATCCCTCTCCAAAGCTGCAGAGGCACAAAGTCATAACATTCAGAAATGAAATCAATCATCCTCCGGTCCTTCCGAATGTGCTATTCTAATTTCCATTACTTCCTAGTACCTACAAAGTTAGTTACATTTTAAGATTTATTAATTTTATACTAGTCTACTACTACGTATCCGTCATCCTCTGGCCATTGTGCTCATGTTAGTGCTGTTCCCCCCAAAAAAGGTGTGTAATCATGTGATGTGTTCATCAGACTTCATTTGTATGAAATGTGATGTCGCTCAAGCCGACGCACGAGGCATACCAGGCACACACGGCACGGGCTCGTCGGGCACACTGAGTACACTGGGCATGCCGTCCATGCTTAGCGCGCTGGGAACACCCGGCACGCTAGGTACGCTGGGCCACAAAGTGGCTGCAGCGCCACTTCATTCTCATTCCATTGAGTTGTCTCACCATACGACCGTCTTCGCACGAATGGAACCCCCGGGTGATTATCGTTGCATGTCGACTGAAAGTGCCCCAACTACAGCTATAATGACCGGGTGTTCTACTCGGGTGAAGACGGTAGGCACAGTGGGCAGGAGTGCGCCCATTGACCACAATGGGCACACTGAGCACACTGAGCACACTGAGCACACTGAGCACACTGAGCACACTGGACACTTTGGAGCCTGGGCACACTGAGCACAGTGGACACTGGGGGTACGCTGAGCACACTTAGCACACACATTGACCACACTGTGTCCATTGTGCTCAGTGGACACTTTGGAGTCTGGGCAGATTGAGGCCCCCATGGAGCACACTGGCCGCCACTCTGAGCAATTGGGAACCACCCTGAAGTCTGAGCAGACTGGTCACACTGAGTAAGTACACTGGGCACGTGCGGTATGCCGGCTGGGCACACGGTCACACTGGTATGGTGAGCTAACTGGACACATTTTGGACATTGGCCACAGTAGGGTGTGCACTGAGGAACACAATGGGTGCAGAGGGCACACTGAGGTAGACTGGGCACACTGTGCTCGCTGGACCCATTGGGGTGTCGGGGATATTACGGAGGGAGGAGAGAGAGAGAGCTGGCAGGAGGCCACACACACTGCGGGTTCAGCCGCCACCCTGACGTCCAGGCGCACCCACCCACACACACAGAGGTCACTCAAGACGGAGCACACAACCTCGACCACACAGACCTGGGAGTTTCGCCCATCGGGACCGGTGCGACCCGGAGCCCTGCTACTGGGTGCGCCTCCTCCCCACCCCCCACCCCCCCGAACTCGGGGTCCTGTATCCCTGAGGCACCCAGCTGGGAGACCTAACCCATTTGCAGCAGTCTCTGTCGATATTGGTATTTTATCTCCAAATGCAGTACAGTGGCAAGGAAGAGGCTATTTGTGGATCACTCTTGCGAACAGTAGCTGCCCTGCTTAGGTTGCTAGATCCCCTTCTTTTAATTTTTCTAATAAAGTTTTTTTTTTTTTTTGGGTCTTTTGACTCTTTTGTTTTTTGTTCTTTTTTTGTGGTTGCTAGAGCTTGTTAGAGGCCTGAGGGAGGTGCTGTGCCATAGCATGTTTGTGTTTAGGAGGTTGTAGCCCCTTTCGTGGGTGTGAAGGGCTGTTGCTGTCTTGTCTCATGTTTGACAATTAAAGATTGAAGTTTACAATTTTCCTATTGGTCTTCCAACCTTTTTTTTTTTTTTTTTTTTTTT